CACACACACACACACACACACACACACACACACAAACTTAATATAACAGTATGTCGAAAGTGACAGGATTCAGTCAGCAGCAGCTTTGTTTCACAACATCACTGTAAGCAGACATTCCAACTTATCCAACAAGAATTTGCAGCCCACAAAGAGTCTTCAGAGGCTTCAGAAATTACAATGTTTCACTAACAACTCTGGCAAACACAGCTTTCTCAACAATTCAACATTTCTGCCTTTCTCTGTGTTTCAGTGAGCTGGCATGGCCCTCAAGGCATGAAGTAAACATCACCTGATTCCTACTGTGTTCGGATTGAAGGCACGACACCTTTAGCGTCTTTACATCCCCGCAGCTAACACACCCCTCTTTCCCTCGGCATGCCCAAATCCTGTAGCATCAGATGCTTTAATATACCAACATTTATAAAATATCTGTTTTTTTGTTGTTTTCTTTTCAAAACACTTACCTTCACGGGCAGTGGATGACAGTCCCACCATTCTCTAATTGGCTCATTCATACACAAAAGAGATACTCCAGAGTCAAAGACACCCTTTGTGCTCTGTCCTGTGAAGTCTGTAGCGGAGGTGAGCTACCATCTGCTGAATTCACACTCCCTTTACCTCTCCCTTCCTCCATCTGATCTGTTATCTCTCTGCACCTCCCTCTCCGTCTACCCTCCTCTCGTTCCTTTTTTTTTTTGAGTGGGGGGGGGGGGGGGGGGGGGGCAGGGTATAGGGTGGTGCTCTGCGTGTGTGCGCATGTGTTTGATCCCCCTTCTTCCACTGTAATCCTAGGGATCGTATAGCACCTGGGAAAGGCTTGCTGTGTAAACACACACACTAATAGCTAACTCACATTCTTTATTCTTTTGCATTCTTTCCCTCTCTCTTTACATTATTAACTTTTAACTAGTGGCTACAAACTAAACAGGTTCCAGTTTAGCTGCCTGTGGAAATCCCCAGTTTATAGGGGTATTTTAACATGTCAAGTAAGAGTTGCAGGATTTAGGAAATTCTGTGGAGTAGTCATTAGGGCAAGTTGAGACCTTTTCAGTGTCACACGTGGAGGATTTGCTGCCTTGAGGCAGAATCAGGCAGCCAAACACGATGCAACATGCTGCCTTCAATCACACTGGCAGTAACGTGGCACAAACAGCCCTGAAGCATACACAGTTCAATACACAACCACAACCACAATATGACACACTAGCTTCTTCTAAGTGTAGGCTTTTACTATAAGAAGCCTCTTGCACAGGACTGGACAAGTATCATTATGATGTCACAAGACTGGAGTTACAGCATAAGCGTGCAAGTAATAAGATCACCTGTTGTTTGGAATCCAAGTGTGACCCCTCATCACCCCTTTGTGATTCTATTTGGGGAGCTCATTCACTTTTTTGTTCAGAATTAGACGAGAATGGTTTTAAGATTCATCTGTGCTAATCGAGACTAGTTAACAGGTTGTAAATTTTTATTTAACTCATACAAAGATTTGTGTGTTTTTTTTTGTCTTTTGGTAGCTGATAAAAAGCACAACTTCATAATAAAAATATAGAGCACTGTGCAAAACTGTTGAGATAACCCTCATTTGTTTATATTTGCTAGGATAATTTGATGTAGGTGCTGCCATTTCTCAAAAACACAGGTACCACAGGCCATAGTGTGAATGTGAGTGTGAAAGTTTGTCTGTCTCTCTGTGTTAGCCCTGTGATAAACTGGTGATCTGTCCCGGGTGTAGCCTGCCTCTCGCCCTAGCACAGCTGGGATAGGCTCAGCTGCAACAGGATAAGCTGAATTGGATAAGCAGATAGAAAATGGAAGAATGGACTCCATTAGACCTGCTGCCTCTGATTTTCAGTGCAGTTCTTGTATACACAGTTGTTTCCATGTCTCGCTTTTTTTTTCTTTCTTCCCTTTCTTTGAAAGAGTAACATAGCATTGGTTCCACAGCAAAAGGTGTTCAAATTCAAGCGGATGAATTTTTTGCTCAGGCTTTTCTCCAAGTTGTCCTTCCTTAAGAATGATTTTATGACAGCCACCATTCTGAGGCCTTTCTGCTGATGCTTAAGCAAACAGTAGATGGATCAACTGAAGGGCCAGATGCATGTCTCAAAAATGCTAATCAGATACTGTTAATCTGTTGCAGATAGTTTTGAGGCTTGTCATTTATTTTTTGTCCTACACCTGTGTAGTTTCCTCAGATTTTTTTAAGGACACACTGCACACCATGCTGACATACAACAGGTTTTCAGCTAAACCAAAGGAATGGGAACAAATTACATCTGTTTGTAATTAGCTGCTAGTAACAAATTGCTAATTTGCTTGTTGTAAGTAAACACAACCCTGGTTCATCATTTGAATTAGGTGTCTTTTTATGCTTAAATGAGTCATAGGTCAGTGTTAAGTGGCGTTACAAACAAAAACTACTCCTCTAAAAATGGTCCGGTAAAAGGACTGGACTGGACTTCTTGGAAGTTAAATATAAAGAAATTAGTGGCTCGAGGCGTTTTTCACAGAATTGTATTTGTGAAGAAAAGCGCCGCAGTAATAAGCTCCTTCTAAAATCTATTGATAAAAAAGCCAGACCCTTCCTCACTCGTAAATGGTGCTTCCCAGCTTTTCCCAAAATAGTCTCACATCCTCTTAAGCCTGATATGGCCTAAAAAAAAAACACGAGTTCTGATAGTGACTAAATCTGAACTTTGACCTCAATAGTAAATATCTGACCCCATACAGAACTGTGGATGTTAGAGGAGGGATGTGAAAGCACACCAAGTTGTAAAATTCACACCACCTTGAACCATATTACAGCTGGGTGCGATGGATCTCAGGTTTTTGAAAAGCTAAAGCCTTCGGGGCAGAAATAGTCACAGTAATTGATAAAACAAAACCTAGTGTTTATTACAATGAAAACTACTGGTCAAGTCCACAGTGTAAAACAAAGGAGAACCATAAAGATGTAAGTCATGCCAGATAAAGCAGTTCGAGAAAAAAAAAAGACGGTACCATCTGTGACTCCACAAAAGATCCGCATCTACTGAAAACTGATGGATTATTCTTGGAAGAGCTCCTTTCCTTATTGTCTTTGGAGATGCTGGATACACAACCATTTCTCAACCCGATCTGACATGAAAGCACACTGCACTGTGTAGGTGTCTTTCTTCCTCGGCCGAACAATACGACCCAGCAAGTTTTTGAAGGAGACGAAAAGCACATTTTTTTGTGTGCAAAAGCATAATCTTATCTCATGTTATGCGAGTCAAAGGATAGGGTTTTCAGTACAGAGACAGTGGTGTTTGAGTGTTATCATCATGCCGTGTGAGTGTTACCTAAATACCTCCATCCAACTCAGTCATCAAAGCTGAGTAAGGCATGTTTGAAAAAAAAAAGAGCTGATTCATAATGTTAAGAAGCACAGATGAGAAAGGAGATATTTTTATATCACCATTCACCACAGGATTTATCACACCACTCCGTGTAACAAAGAATGAGGTAAACCAGACAGCCAGATGTTCGCCCAGTTTTTAATTGAATTAGGAGGTGTGCCAACAATGCCTTCTCTCACCAGGTTGTGCCCTATAATGATGAAATTCCCTCCCACCCTACCCTTCGAATTCCTGGCATTTCCCAAGAGTGACAGCTCTTCTCTCCTCTCGCCAGTAGAAACGTGTCTGGGCATTCGCAAAGTGATATCTCTGGAGAACACCACAGGTATACAGGGACAGATCCGGTTCATAGCGCAAATCATCTTGATGGCTGCTGCCAGTCTTTCTGCTACTTTTTACTGCGTCATTTGGGATGGAGGAAGAGATATTCAAAAAAACGCTGTTTTATTTAATGTTCATTTTACTTTCACGGTACATAAAGTTGCTATATTTGACATCTCACAGAAAGACTGTGTATGAAATGGCTTGCTTGCAGTCACAAATAGACTGGGAAATAAAGCTGCAGGCAGCGAAGAGGGGACCAAGCTGGCTCAGTCACCATGGCAACTTGAGCTGACCATGTTAAAAGCACTGGCAGGAAAAATGAGTTGTTGCTTAATGCCCTGAGTGGGGACATTATCGAACTTGAGAACCTCAAGAAGTACAAAGTTCATACACCAAGGCTTTATTCAGATATGGAAATGTATTTATTCATTTATGTTTGATTGGAAAAGCTGGTGCACTTCCAGGTGTTCAACCTACGGTACAGTTTTAATACAATAGGATTCATGTCCGTATCACTGCTGATTGTGAAACAGATATATCCATCAAACAAGAGAGAGCATAGCTTTAGGCCTGTTGAGCATTGTTGCGTACAATCTGCTAAACATGCCATAATGTTGTATGCTATTTCCAGACTGAACGTGACCCATATCTGATGTCATGAGCTTTGAAGTTAACTTGCTACAAGGAATATAACAGTACCTCATTAGGTGGTGTTATAAATGTTACTCTAGCGTCAACTAAGTAATGGTGCTATAGTGCACGAGATGGAGACATGAAACTCGGTGAAACGACTGTCCTCAATGAGGGTGTCCCATTCATGCTCTTTAGCAGTAGCTGCTAGGAGCTACCACAGTGTTACTTTTATTTTCTCGCTCTGGTTGGCTAAGTTTAGGCAACAAAATGCTTTAGTGTGGTTTACCACACAGGCACACCTGTGCACAGTTTACAAGCACTTTTTCACACATCTTCTTGGGGCCTCTTGCACAAACAACATTCAATGTTATATTATGGGAGAACATAGTAATCATCCAACTGTGCAGTGTCCTTAAGTTTTGTGGAGCATTTTAGCATGATTTAGTCTGTTGTGTTGGTTTTGAATGAGCAAACAGCATATCATTGGGGGAGCTTTGGTTCTTCTTTTGGCTTCTTCCTTTAAGGGCTGCTACAGCAGATCATCGGTTTCCACCTAACCCTGTCCTTGGCATCCACTTTTCTCACACCAAGCCTCTGAATGTCCCCTTTGATTACCTTCATGGGTTTTTTTCTCTTGTCTTCCACTTTTCATCTTGCCTGGGCAGCTCCTTCTTCAGCATCGTCCAATATATCCAATTCAGCGTCCAATATATCCACTATCCCTCTTCTGCACATGCTCAAACCTTCTCAGCCTTGCTGCTCTAACTTTGTCTCCAAACTGCTTAACCTGAGCTGTTCCACTTGTGTATTAACTTCGAATCTTGTCAAATCCTGGTGTCTCCCAATGAAAATCAATTCTTCCTTCTCCAGCTCCACCTACTGTCATTTTGTCAGTGCAATCCTGGTGACCCTGTCCATTTCACTCTTGCTGTTATCCTTCACATCATTCCTGATACTTATCTCCACTCTTCTTCACCTCGCTTGTGCACTGTCCATTTGTTTGGATGGTTGATCCCTGATATTTAAACTCCTCCACCTTCACTAACTCTGCTCCGTTGGTCCTTCACAGCTACACCTGTTTTGCTCTCATTGACAAACATGTATTCTGTCTTGCTTCTGCTGACTTTTATTCCTCTTCTCTTCAAAGCATGCTTCCACCTCTCCAGGCTATCTTCTACACAGTCACAGTGTCGTGTGCAGACTCCTGTCTAACCTCATCTCTCAATCTGTCCATCACCTCTACAAACAAGAAGGAACTCATAGCTGACTCTTGAGGCAATCCCACCTCCTCCTT